GTCTGTGCCCTCCGTTGGCTGGGGTGCAGGGCACGTCCCCATCGGGAACTTCTCCAGGAACACCGAAGCGGCAAAGAGGCAGAGGGAATTGCTGCCAACATCGCCTTCAATGCCCCCCGCACCCTTCACTGCCTGCGGACACTCCTTCCAGTCCGAATTACTCTTGCCAGCAACGCGCCAACGCAACTTTTTCTCAGTGTTCAGGCACGACACCTCCACCGACACATTCACATTGGCCGCAGGCCCTTCAGCATTCGCCCCGCAGACGGAGGAGCAGAGCAGCGCGAGGAGCGCCACTGCGCACACCGCACGGCGCCGCACCGTCAGCGCCATCGGCAAAAACAGTGGTGGTGGTGGTGGCAGTAGCGTCGCAGCAGAGCCAGTGGGCTGCGGGGCAGCGGAGAAGAAGAAACAGAGAGAGAAATGGGGGGCGCGGTGGGGTGCGGCGCAGAGAGTGAGGGCAGGGAGAGGGAAGGAAGAAAAAGACGGCAGCCCACTAAGTTCACGCAGCAGCGCCCTGCAGCCGCACGAAAAGAAATTCATTCCGCCCCCGCCCCACGCAGACGTCTTTGGCGGTGCCAGGGCGTTTAGGAGAAACACAACGTGAAGCTAAAAAACAGCGCTGCTGCGAGGCACCACGGGGCACGGCGCCTCCTTCTCCCCGCAGCAGCGCAGCCCGCCGGCGGTGCCCCGTGCCCGCAGGTAAATAAACACACAAACACACAAATATATATATTTTTTAAAAAACAATCCCTTCCAGCACTTCGGTAGAAACGCAGTCCGCTGCTGCACTCCGCTGCTCACTTCCCCCCAACGCCGCCGCCCAAATCCGCGGAATTGCGGCACCTCCGCGCCGCGTGCGTGTTGGAGTGTTCTCCCTGCACGCTGCGCGCAAACAACACCCCCCACCAACACCCATCGGCAACAGATTCCCCGGCCGCTTAAAATATGCACCTCGTCCTTCACTCACTGGGCCGCTGCAGCGCCGCGCTGGCGGTAGTGTTGCAATGCGCATCCGCCGCAGCAAACCGCAGCCCAAAGAAACTCCTCCCCCGCTGGGAACCCACAAAACAATAAAAAAAGGAGGCGCCCAAGAGCAGAGCGTTTTCGGTCGCCGCTCCCGCGCAGCTCCCCGCATGTTGCGTCCACCCTCTCGGCCTGCCGGCTCCCGCGGCGCCCACATCGCTAAGCCCCTCCCCGGCACGCGACGCCGGGCCCGCCCGCAACACGCAGCGCCTTGCACGCCGTCCTGTTGGCGGCCGCAGCCCCGCGCGAGCCCCTCTTTTTCTGCCGCGCCCGCAAAAGGCCCTCCTCCCCCAGCGTGTGTGCGTGTGTGGGTCCGGGGCACGCGGCTTCTGGAGCTTTTCAGGAAGGCGAGCGGCACGCCGTAACCGCGAGAGGCCCTCGCTGGGGCCAAGAACCCCACACACAAACGTGCCCCCATTCGAAGATCAAAGAAGCAACACACATTTGTGTAGCGCACGGCCTCCACATCGTGTGCGCCACACTCCCGCTCAATCTTCGCAGTCCTCCGAAAAGGATTCCCCGCACCCCACAGTTTCTCGCCTTCCCGAGCACAGTCGTCTTCAGCAACCGGGGCGTCAGTCGCCTGCAGGAGCGCCGTCACCCGCCGCAGTGCGCCCATCGAACGCAGCCGCACTGAAGGTGCCACGCGGCAGCGGTCCGACAAGCTGCATGCGACCCGCGACCGCCTCCCACTACTTCTTTTGCTCCTGCGCGGGATGATGGCGCGAGTCCGCCGGGCACACGTCGCCGTCACCTCCTCCTCGTCGCGGCAGCGCATCGTGGGGCGAGGCAGAGATGCAGTCGCATCGCCAGTGCTCTCGAGTTATTTCCCTTTGCGGACGCCAACACGCAATCATGCCCCAACTACAAGGCCGTAAGTTTACCCACGGCAGCGGTGCTCCTTCCTCTGGCGCATCGTAGACAACTCACACCCTCTTGCCCGCCACGACAAATCGCTCACACGCCTTCGGATCTTGAGCTCGCCCTCGTGCCCTGTCGCCGTTTGCGTGGCCGTGTCGAACACTTCCGCCAACTCGCCTCCGAGGCAGCAGAGAGCAAAGTGGAGCAGGCATTCATCGCGGTGCAGCGGCCGGTGGAGGGGATTAGGGGCCGGCACTCGTCCACCACCGAGGCCGCCATCCCCGGGCGCCCCAATCAAGACACGCCGCCTCACCTCAAACACTTCTCGCCCTTTGGTGCGAAGCGCCCCCTCCCAACCGCCCTTGACAACCCGCCACACCCGCCCCACCGCAGAGTGAACGCAGCAGCCGGCAATGTTCCCTCCCTCCCTCAGCGGGCACGGCCAGTCCTCCTCGGAGGCGAGTCCCGTCAGGCTGGGACGCGGCGCACGAAGCTGCTCCACGTTGCCCCGCAGTGGAGGAGTTGCCCCCTGCGCCGTGCACGCCCCCCGACTGCGTTGGGGTGTGTGGCCCCGTTCCACCGCCGTCCGCACCGCCACTTCCCCCCCTCCCTTCAGCCGCAGGAAACCCCAAGACGTGGCTCCACTTCGCGTTGAGCACAAACTCGCACACTCCCTCTGCCTTGCGTTCAACGGCTCACTGTGGCCGCGGCGGTGCCTCCTCCGCCCTTCCGCGCCGCGCTGCGGGCTGCCGAGTGCCGCCGGCGGGCCCCGACCTCCACCGGCGCCGTCCCTGCAGCGCAGCACATGCAGGGCGCTCCCGCGGCAGCGCGAACTCCTTCCTCGCGTCTCCCAGGCATTGCTCACATGAGTTCATTCCTTCGCAGCTGTTGTTGGCTTGCGCTGCGGCTGAGCACCCACCACCAGCCAAAGGGAGAACGAGAGAGAGAAGCACAAAAAAAAGGCACACAGACACACGACCCCACGCAGCCACATTCAGCAGGAGAGAGGAGAGAGAGGGCCACCACCCGCACGTTGTGGCACACGCATACACATCACACTTCAGCAGCCCGCGCAGTGGGTGCAGTCAACCAACAAACACACAAACCAACCCGTGAAGTGAAGCCGAAGCGTGGGGGCGCGTCCACCGAGCAGCGGGGACGCGCAGCAACACGTGGGACGACCAGCACACACACACCCCATCTCTCCCTCTGCTCCCCCACAGCCCAGTCCAGGAAGAGAGAGAGAGGAAGCAAGAGGTAAAGAAAAAAAAAAAACGAAATCCCAATGTAGTAAAGAAATG